TACGAATATGTGCCTGTTTTCAGCTGCACCAGTTTGTGGTCCAGCGTGTTAAGACAAATCACTTTCATCAGCTGAAGTACAGGGCCAGGTTGTGGCCATGAGGTCACATCTGTTATAGACACAGTAATGTCTGTCTAGAGGGACAGAGCAGACTGCCTGAAGTTGTAACCTCTTAAGATTACTGCAGCTCTGCTCTCAAAACCTTCAGTCGTGCTTGTCGAGGGGCTCATGGGCATCTGAGGTACTAATGAAGATGTTTTGCGAGGGCTGGAGAAACAAAAAAACCATGTAGTGTTCCCTGTCCTCTGTGTCCCTTCATTTCTTGTGGGATCCCCTCGGAGAACGGTAAGGTGACTGTGGTGCTCCTCAACAAAAGGTACTGTACAAACAGCAAAAGCAGCAGTCAGAGAAGACAGAGCATATAGCCCTCAGTGGTTTGTAAATTAGGATTATGGTGCTGTCATTCCATGCAAGCTACTTCTGCAAAGCCACTTAAGGAAACGGTAATGTGCATTCTTCATCTTAGACAGGGTGGGGTCAAACACCATTGGGAATTTGTGATGAGATGCACCTTTTCACATGGAAATTGCTGGTTTTCAGTTGTGACAGGGAGCTGTCAGCAGTTGTTGCCTGGGGAAATCAGTTCAGTGATCTCAGTCCAGCTCATTACAAGCAGATGACTACATCCCAAGTCCTCCTGGCCCTTGTTTCCACTTGAAGCAAGTTTCTCAGGTGTGGTGGATGGTGACAGAGCCTTCTGGTGATGCCTGTCTCGTGCTGGTTGCAATCATGTTTGGATGTGTTACTGCACCACTCGCAGTAGAGTCTGGAGATTCACTCGCTCATAAGCCCACTCTGCATTTAGCCTGTTACAGCTTGTTTACAGGGACCCTTAGGTAAATTCATTTAACTAACGCATGAAATGCAAGTAATTCATTCACAGTGAGTTAATCTGACTTCAGGTCACTTCAGTTCTGAGTAAGAGTTGTGACACAGGGCTTTGATGTGGTTTAACCCATTTGAGACTACCTTTCTCGAACATCCCCATAGAAGCAGACACACTCTTGGCTCAAAGTGGTCTGGAAGAACCAAAAGAACAAGTGAGCACTGGACTGCATGGACATGAGTGGCATGGAGGTGGGCGGGCCAGGCATGCTGGTAGGACATTGTGCAAAAGTGTGAAACACTGCTGGGTATCATATTTTGAAATGAAGGGCTAACAACTTGATCCTATTCCCAAGTAATGTTTTAACTTTGAGAACTATTGCTTTTTCTGCTTTAAAGTGGCTTCACCAATAATTTCAGTATCTTTAATATCCTGCAAAACTTGTGGTACTAATGCACCTTTGCGCTCGGCCCTGCTTGACTGAGTCAGATACTGTTAATGCTGGTGCCTCGTTTAGACAAAGCACATTTTTTCCAAATACTTAATGTGGAGCCACTGTGCTTTGCACACAGATCACTGAGCATCTCTCTGGGAAGGGCAGGGTGTCTGAGGAATCTAAAGGGGGACACTAGAGAATTTGCTTCTGTCACTGCCTATACTATGTATCTGTTCATGACTTTGCAAGATACTGCAAGAACTCAGTGGGAGTTTTCCAGCTCAAATCTCTAAGACAGAACTGAATCCATCAACATTTTTTCTTCTAGAAATGACCACAGAAATTACAGGTTCATGTCCCCCTTCTAGAAAATGTGTTTCTGGTAGTGAAACTGGTGTTCTGCTGCTGTTGCTGGTGCTGCTACTGAAGTAGTTCGTCCATACGTGGCTATAAGGGGATCAAGTCCCGCCATTGAGGATTTTGTAACTGGAGTAAGATGTGCATCTAAAAGCAACACAGTTACGGTGCCCAATTAACATGCAAATTAGACAAAGGAACCATGACTATGAACACAGTTTTACTGTAATGTTTTAACAAGGTCTTCACAAAAGAATATGAAAAATTTCCAAGGAGTAGGGTGTGGATCATGAAAGCGGTAGTGTGAGAGAATACTTTCTCATAGGACTGGGTTTTTCTAGTGAATTGAAGTAAAATTTGTAGATATTACGACTTTTGAGACTACGAAAAGCTGCGTCCCTTTTGTGTAAGAAGTGTAAGAACTTCTTTTCTTACATTTTCAGAAAAGTCTAGTCAGACTGGTGGATCGTGCAGTGTGGCAACAGATGGGTTTTAACTTGTGTAAGTATGCAGGGTGGTGCGTGCTCATAATCTAAACTTATATATGCTGAGCTGAAGATTTATTGCAAGGAAGAGGTCACCATGGATAGCTCAGAGAGTATAATAGTCCTTGCCATAATGGAGGTCTAATAACAGCAATTAAAGGAAAAAATAAATGAGACACATTGTAAAATACACCTGTTTAAGTGGCAGAGAGATGGCAATGGATGTTCCATGGCCATTGAAATAAAACAATTCATGCTGCTCTGCTTGGTTACATTCAGAGAGGGGTGATAAAAAAGACTAAAGCCGTGAGCTTTAGCCTCATGTTCTGTATATGCATATCACAAAGTGTTCTGCATATGCATCTCGCCGTACATGTACAGAATTGTTCAGAATAAAATGTTGGACTTTTCACAGATTTGATTTAACAAAGTTTAACTGACAAAGTAATGTGGGGAAGGGAGGGCAAGAAAGCCATGGAATTGTGCAGAAATTAAATACTGTTTGTGTACTTTGTGGAAACTTTATAGGCCGGGAGGTTTTTCAACCAGGAAGAGTGTTTTGGTGTTAGCTGTTGCCAGTAGGGAGGTGTTGGCTGTAGTTCCCAGCAGATGTGGTTTAAGTCAAGGTTCTGCTCTAAAACTCATTGAAGCTATCTGGCATCTTTATTTTGGCTTGAACTCGCTCTAGTACATTTTCAGTCCATTTCCTAGGAATGAGGTTCATAGGGGTGCCAGGCTTATTTAAGTGGTACCCTGTTTTGGAGAAACACGTCAGGAAGGTAAGTCAGGATTTGCCTGAATTATCAAGCAAGCTCTGCACCGTGTCAACTCATTTAGCCAACATCATTTAGCATGGGAAGCGGGGTTTCCTTAAATCAGGATGGTTGCGTGGGCCTATTGCATACATACACTTTCTTTTATTCAGGCCAGTTACTATCTTTTACGTTACTAACGAATACATGACATTCGTTAAAGTGAATTGGCCCAAGTATGCATGCACATCCATCAATAGAAGTTGTCCTATTTTTTCTTTATTTAGTCTGAGGCCAGGTTCCACACTAATGAAATCAATGGATTTATTTAAGGCAGCTGAGACTGACACATTTTAGTTGGCAGTGTTCTGCAGTGTAACATAATCCAGTTCCTTTAAACTTCAGGTCCTGCGACTCTAGCATGTATTGAATGTTGAAATGATGGCAGTAAAGATTCACCTCTGGAGTTTACAAAGATACGTTCTGCTGCAGTGGGATCCTCTCCCTGTTGACATGTAGATGTACTGCAGAGAGTAAAATACTGAGAAGGATCAATGGCATGCAACCCCTACAAGAAGGCACTTTTTGATGGCAAATTTCTGGGGGCATGTGTTTTCAGAGCCTTCTTGTTGAAACGCACATCTGGCCCCAATAAACTATAGTTACAGTTTTACAGTAGATAGTTATTTGTAAATTTTAATTTGCTGGTTATCATAAACAATGGTTTACTTTCAAGTTACATCCCTGTAAAATAGCTCAGATGGCATTTGTTTAATTTTTGGAGGGTTGGGTAGTTTTTTCCTTTTGTACAATCACTAGTTGTCCTCAGCCAAAAAATACTTGAAACTTTTTTCATTTCTGGTTTTTGCTCCCCTGCTTCTTCCCTTAAAACTTCCCTGTGTTTTCTGTACCTCCTGATCTACGGTCTCTGCCACTTTATAAGGTCTTTAGAAAATTCACATCCATGCAGCCACTTAGTGGATTATTGAGAGGAAAGTATGTCTGCTAGAAATGCTGTACAATGGCAAACACTGGATGATTGGAGAAGTATTTTAAATGCTGAAGAACATTCTTCAGGGGTGTTACTTTTGCATTAAAACAGAATTTAAGTCAGTTTTGCACACCAAAGTCCAACAAAACATGCAGAAGGCCTACATTCCAGCAGATGATCATTAGATGCTTCAGTTAATTGTGTGCTCTGTTGTGAGTAATATGTGGTTTTTACCACATGACAGGGTTTTGTGAAACACATAAGGAAGGCAAAGGAGCATAGACTGGAACACAACTTCTTCCAAATCAGTATCTTGCCTTTTCTTTTGTGTGTGCCTTTAATTGGCAAGCAATTTCTGGCTGCACAGGGGCCTGTTTCAAGAGAGCAAGAAGTTGCTTCTTCTGCAGCCAAGTAGTTGGTTATTCTCCCAGAAAGTGGAGGTTAGAAACCTCTTTTTATATGAATCTTTTAGGCTGTTCTGCAGAAGGCAGCCTCTATCTTCATGTTTTAAAAAGCCCTGTGAGTTATGAGCCTACTTTCAAAAGAAATGGCAACTCAAAAATTAGATTAAGAAATCTGGTGTACAGCATGGGGTCACTTGAAGCTGCAAAGATCTTGCTTAACTTTTACTTTTAGTGTTCTGCTCAGCATGTGGGTTTTCTTAATTTTTTGACTGATCCTTCTTGTATACCTTTGAGGTCATCACAAACCACTTTTTGGAGGAATCTGACTCTTCCCATTAACAGTTCAGAGCATTTAAATGCCTCGTGCTGTCTCTGTTGCAGTCATGAACCCAACTTTTAGCAAAGTTGGTGGTACCTCGTTTGGTGGTTGCCTCAATTAGATCTCTACCTAGATTCTGTGGAGTAGATAGTTTGACCAACAGATACAGTATTTAACATCGGTAAGAAAAACTGCAAACAAACCGTGATAGTTGTTACCACCATAGACACAATCCTCCTCTCCAAGAAAAAGTTTCCTGTGCCTGCTAGCGAGCCTGTATTCACAACTGAAATGTTACAGAGCCTCTGTGCAGGAACTTTTGTATGTTGGGTACCTATAACGCTCTGCTTTGTGTTCTGTCCAATTTTAGCGTGCCCTCTGGATTTGAAGGTATAAAAGAACAGGAGATCTGCAACAAGATAATGACAAAAATGCTGGAAAATTACAATACCTTGTTTGAATTAGAAGGTTTGAAGAAGGATGAAGAAAAGCCTGTATGTGAAGAGCTAGCAAGAATTATTTTGGTAAAAGTGAGTATCTCTAATATTTCATTTTCTTATAGCAAATCAATAATGCAGGCTTATTGCAGGTTTCAATTCAGAAATCTTTTAGGTAAGTGGGAGGCAGGCATTGTTGTAATAATGTTCTGTGTTATTGGTGGGTATACATCTTACAAATCGATTCTGCTGATAGGCTAATTTTCATTACTAGTCTGGAAGTTGATTCTATTAAACACCTTTATTCTTTGTTAGCTACTCACTGTTATTTATATAGGAAATATATTTGCTAAAAATTAAATGTTTTTAAATGAGGAGGCAGAATAATTCCAGGAAGTATTCAAGTTTTCTGACATGGTGATCATTTGTGGCATACATCAGTGATGATGAACTTCCATGCTTTAGTACAGTATGAGGTCTCTAGCCTTTGCCACTATGAAGTCTGCTTGTCTCGAACACATACCTGAATTGAAAAATCGCATGTTCTGACTCAACAGCCATTTCTGAGTGCGCTTGAAGACAAGCATTAAATAGTAGTTACTATTTGAAGAAAGTACATTGGAGCTGTTAAACAAAAGTGATATAATTAAAGTATAATATCTTTGGGGGAAAGAGGGCATGTGTGTAACATCAGAGGATTCTAAAGTTCAGAAAAAGTTGACAAAAATAAGTAGGGCAGCCAGAAGTGCGTTGTTCTGGCTTGTGCCATCTCTACTACAGGAAGCAACCTGAAGTCTGTGTAGGAAATGGTCGTGAAGATGGTTTGCAATCGCCTTATTTCCTTTTGTGTGTTAGCTGTGCAGATAATTACTCCCTTCCAAGGTGTGAGCTCTTGAGTTTGAGAGGGTTGAACTACATGCCTTCCCTTGGTAGGGTTTTGCGAGCACCCACTGATAAAATCACCTTAGCCTTCGCTGGCTGGAACGGAAATGTCAGAAAATAAGTAATAAAAATACAGTGTCTTTGACCTTGGCAGAACAAGAAGTTTGGTGTGAGCTCAAGTTCTGCCAGTCAAGTGAAATCAGCTGAAAACATCTCTTCCTTTGCAGTATATCACAGGAGGGTCTGTTGAATCTGAACTGCAGGGCAATCTGTATGAGTCGGAGCCAGCTGCATTTAGAAGGGTTGGTTGTTTTCTTATGTGGTGAATCAGTGAGGAAGTCTTTAGCTATTTAGTCTTTTAGCTGCTACTAACATTCACCTGGAATGCTTCTGTGGAAGGAGATAGAATGACTGATGACTTGCAGCGTCCTCCCTAATGTATGTTACTGAAGTCACAATAACTTCTGGGTAATGGAAATGATCTGCCTGGCAGACAAGAGTGATGTTTAGCAGCTGATGGTCACTTCAGTAACAAAAACAGGTTAAGAACAATGTAATTTTACAATTACACACGGTACTTTAAAGCGCCCAGAAAGGCTTCAGATATGTCTCCATCTCCTTCAAGCCTCAGCCAGTTGCAAAAGCCAAGATAGTCTTACAGTTTTAAGGACTTACTAGTAATTGGGAACGCACAAAGGTGAAGACCTGGGAGATTTCCCACAGCAGTTCAGAGGTCTGAGCTATCAAAGTACATGGTGACAATCAGAATTACTCCAACAAAATAGCCTGAAAGATATAGTTACTCAAGTGAGATGAAAAATGTTGCCCATCACTTTGCCTCAAGAGACAGATGACTGCCTGAGAGGAATGAGCCACGACTAAACACAAGGGCTTACACTGTGTGTCTTTGGATCTTGTTGATAGCTTCCAAATTCTGCTGGCAGTCAGCTGCAAAAATTTGACCTTGTTCCTTGTCCATCTAATTTGGGTGGGAAGTTTTCTAGCTTAACCAAGACAAATACTCAAACACAAGAAATACAAGCATCTAACTTCATGTAGCAAAGCTACATAAGAAGTGCTTGTTGAGATTTGTCAGGTGGCTCTTTGAGAGGATGCTTTATACCATTCCCAAGGGTTACTTTTCTTGTATCCTAGCAGATACCCCTATCCTAGCCAATTTGTATAATAAATTAGAGATGGTGCACTCGAAGAGAAAACCAAGTGGTACTAAATGAGATTCAGTAGAGAAAAGTGATGGCCAGTTTGCTAATGCGTGAACTGTTACATACAGTAGGAGCTAGCTGATCCGTGTCATAAAAGAACAAATGCAGCAGAGAATTATTTGGTGTGACCTGTGTCACAGTGTCCAGAAAATAGCAAGCCATTTGTAAGCAAAGTTACTGCTTCTTGAAAAGCCGTTAATGAATTTGTGTCTACAGGTAGCTGAAGAGAGATTTGCCAAGTAATCCTGTTGGAAGGAGTGAAAAATGTAGGATGCTCAGGACAACGCTCTCATAAACTGAGGCCCTGTTGATTTTAAGGGTGTTGCACTCAAGCATGAACCATGGTGGAATGGGGGAGCAGACAGCAAGGAAGGGGAAGAAAATGAGGACCTGCCCTTTACCAAACTCAGATGTATTTATCTAAATGGCTTTTTTTGCTTTTACATTGTGAGCAGCAGGAGGGTGAGGAGGGGAGATTTAGATGACCCCGCTCACTTCCTTCTGGGATATTTCTGTCATGCCCTCCCCCAAATCACTCGCTTTATTGCCAGTGTTTTATCCTGAGTCACTACACTGCTACCTTTCCCATGATTGCCTTCACTCTCTCCTCTTTCTCTCTTTTCCATGTTTACATTTTCCTCCAGAATTCCCACAGCCCTGTCCCACTATTCTTCCTGCACTCAAATCTGATAGCACTTCATTCCCACTCCAGAGAAAAGGCTGGCAGTCTGTAGTGAAGTGCAAAAGCTGCAGCACTCTTGATACGTGGCCTTTCATCACCTCCAGTCACTGTGCACACATACCGTAGCCCATCCACAGTCTGTATTTCTTTGCCATCCTTTCTTTTATGTTTTTGAATGTGGAGATAACTTTTCCTCTAGGTTAGTACAGTCCTTGTGGTAATGTGACCTTCCTTATGCGTTCTCCTGGGTGTGTAGTGCGGGGCTAGGGCTCATTGAGACACTTTTCCTAGACAAGCATTAATGCCTCCTTTTGGTTGGAATGCTGCTGTTAGTCTTACCCAAAGGTAAGGTTCCCAAAATGGGGATGGAGGCACTTACAGGAAGAAATTACTTTTTACATTGTGTTAATCTCTTAACCTCATGATGGTCAAAGCCATCGGTGCTGATCCAGGTATTTCTTGATTAAGAGTTTGGAAAGAGCACCTATAAGCATGAAACTTCATATACAGGGAGAAGAATGCCACAAGTTTGCAGAAGGACTAACTTGAATCAAAATTTGAAACCCATTCACAGTGGTTTAAAAAAATAAGGAAAGACATCAAAAAGTACAACATGGAACAATGCACTTCTCTCAGTGCTCTAATATGCCTTTCCAGCTTACTGCATTAGAAAATTAGCCCTGCTTTTTCTTACCTCTTTTTCATGGCTTCAGGCTCTTAACTTTGGTGCCGAAATTTCAATTGGAAAAACAGGAACCTATCTTTAGTTAGTGTCTAAAGATACTGCGAGAATATTATTTCTCCCTGCAGTCTTTGGTTGTTCTTGAGATGGCTTAGGTGCCTGTTGCTTCACATCATCCACTCATAATCATCTTTTTTGAAGTCAAATCAATGCTAAATCATTAATTCTGAGCAAATACCCAGAAACAGGGCAGTAGTGGCCCATGCCATCCCATCCCACTATGGGAATGTACCTCCTCTCATGTGCTCGGTGATGTTTTACCCTCTTCCCGAACTTGCATGACTCCTGACGCTTCATGGTCTGGATATCTTAAGATTTTCCCACACTTTGGCCATAAAGTCAGCGGATTTTTAAAAGCAGGAAGTACTGCTCTTCTAAAATAAAAACAAGAATATGTGGATCATTCAGATAAAGTTATGAAAGCATCAAGCTTCTTTGAGCAGTGTATTGGAAAGGAAAAACAGCTCGGGTGGAGCAAGTTGCATCTTGTCTACCATGTTGGCCATAGCTATGGGAAATCCACAATGTTACAGACTTCCAGAAGGAGTAAAAGCATTTCAATCAGGTACAGATTGCAGCAGCTCAAAGAAAATCTGTTTTAAGGAAACCAAAAAGTAATAAATTTTAGAGATGGGAAAAAGAGATGTAGGGCTGTTGGTAGCTGAACTGCCATTCTTGCTGTGTGTGTGCACTGAGGAGGCACAGGAACACCTTCAGCCCAGTTATATTTCTTCTTTCAAAGATTGATCAGTCATTGGGAAAGACAAGTTGTGCCAGGTAAATGGATTTCTTAGCTTGCTTTCTCAGTGGATCAGAATTCGGGAAGTAAGGGAGCCAGAAATCTCTGCAAGCTGCATTCCAGTCCCTGCTTTGTTCCCAGGACCGTAAAGCCTCCTCTTGCTCATTGATCAGACATATGGTAGGATTATACTTAGAAATGGTGAGGAGTTTTTCTTTGGAAGCCTCTATGTTAAAAAAAAGTGCAATTTTCACAAAACAGAAAATGTATCTTAGAGCAGTTTATATTTCAATGGGAAATTGAACTGTCAGGTTCCTGAAACCTTGCCTGGAAAGACTTCGTTAGTTTCTCACTCCACCTAGTAGAATGAGATCCATACAATCTTCGAGGCAGGTGGCCAGCAGGTGGAAGTATAACATGTACTTTCTTCAGAAATATATATATATATATTTGGAAATTCCTTCCCGTAAAAGAATTATGTGGTTTGATTTTCTTATTCCAAGTTAAGTTGACATTTGTTGGGGTTTACAGGTCTTATTTGCAGCCAGCTATTATTACGATCCTTAAGACTTTTATCCAAGCTTCAGTTTAATTTCCTAACCCAGTGAAGGTCTGGAAGAGTCTCAGTCTGTTGATCAATAGGCTCTGCTAGTTAGAGAGAAATGGGTGGAGAAATGGGTTGAGTGTTCTGATTAGCTACCTGGTCTGTGTTGTATTTTTCAGATTTTCAGGATCATAAATAGCTACTTTTTGTTGAGCAGTGTTACGTGTGAACAATTAAGTCCCTGACAGTATATCTGCACTGCTGTGCATTTATCAAATTAC